GCCCGACCCGGCTTCCGCGGGGCGCCGTCCGGCTGCGCGGCCAGCGACGGCCGAGGCGGGGTGTGGGGCCCTCGGGCGGGAGAGGACCTTCTCCTGCGCAGCCCGTCTGTATTTTAAATTTGGGGGCTTTGTTAGTCGTGGGGGTTCTGCATGATTTTTGATTTTTTCAAATCTCTAACACTGAGTAGAGTTCTGTGCCCTATAAATACATGCGCGTGCACGAGTGAGCCACCGCACCCGGTTGGCCAGCAGGTGTGCGTGTCCCTTGCCGGAAGAGGATGGAAACAACTGTTGAGTTGCCTGCCGGAGTCGCTCAGCCGAGGCCCGTCAGTCTGCCTAGGAAGCGGGCTGCTTGTCTTCTGCCTGGGTTCTTGTCCCAGAGCCTCGTAGCAGAAATCTCCATTGTTGAAGCCTGGGACAGAGTCTGGCCTTCAGCTTTCAAAGCGAGAGGACCCGAGCCCCCGTCCTTAAATCACCAATTACATATTTTTGTGGGTTGCAGGTTTCAGGGTTTATTTCCTAACATCTCTGTGTATTGGACCATAAAAGTTTCCAAAGTAGTAGGGAAATTCAAACAGCAAGGAAACTTACGATACCAACTGGAGTGTTGTGATAAGGATTTGGCTTATAGTAATTGTAGTAATTGCAAATGATTGTAATTTTGCTGTGTAAATAATTTCCCTAGTACTTTGTTACTAAATTAAAATAAAGTCCACAGTACAAAAACCTCTCGCAGTTTTTATCACAACACATTTTATGTAGCAAAGAGGACTATGCAGAAGGCAAAACTCTTCTTGATTGAAAAAAAAAAGTTGCTTTTCTACCATGTCCAAAATGGAGTAGGTGTTTGCCGGCGTGGTGGCGCACACCTGTAATATCAGCCTTACAGAGGCTGAGGCAGGAGGATCGTTTCGAGTTTGAGACCAGCCTGGGCTACAAAGTGAGCTCAAGGGGAGCCTGAACTGCAGAGTGAAACCCTGTCTCAAAAAGACAAAAAAAAAAAAGAGTAGGTGTGATGGTGCATGCCTATAATCCTAGCATTTGGAAGGCTGAGGCAGGAGGATTCCAAGTTTGAGACCATCTTGGACTACAGAGTGAAATAGTCTCAAACAAAAAGCAAAAAATAAAATTTAGCCAATTAACACTCATATTCTTTGATTTATCTATGCTTTTTAAGTCTATTGTACTTGAAAACACTGTCTAAAAGATATTTATTGGCTAGTAAAAGCTAACACTCCTTGATTAATTATTCTCCTTCGGGCCCTACAGTAAGCATTTATATTATTTATTTGATGAAGGTGTCTCAGTTCACATATAAATATAGTCACATGATTTTTGACAAAAGTGTAAAAGTAATTGCCATGTAGATGCAACAGTTTTTCAACAACAAATGGTGCTGGAATAATTGGACATCCATATGGGGAAAAATATACCTAGATGTAGACATTATATCTTTTACAAAAATTAACTTAAACTGGATTACAGACCTAAATGTACAACAAAGCTATAAAACTTTTAAAGGAAAATCCAGAGCTGGACATGGTGGCGCACACCTGTAATCCTAGCACTTGGGAGGCTGAGGCAAGAGGATCGTTGTGAGTTCTAGACCAGCGTGGGCTATAAAGTGAACTCAAGGCCAGCCTGAACTGCATAACAAGACCCTGTCTCAAAAAGACAGAAAAAAAAAGGAAAATCCATTTCTTGGGTTTGCTGATGGGTTTTTAGATATAACGCAAAAGTATAATCTGTATGCAAAAAATACACGTTAGACTTGATTAAAATAAACTTTTAAACTGAGTATGATGGCCCATGCCTGTAATCTCAGCACTCTAGGAGGCTGAGGCAAGGAGGAGTGCATATTGGACCTTAGACTAGATAATTTAACATTCCGAGGTCCTACCTCAAAATAAAAAACAATTTTTCAAGAGAACTGGGATTGTAGCTCAGTGTGAAGGCCCTGGATTCAGTCCTTGCAGTCACAAAATAATAACAACCTTGGCTGCCTGAAGGACGCTAACAGTGAAAATGGGAGGGTAAGGCACAACTAGGAGAAAATATAAGCAAAGTACATCTTGATAAGGATTCATATCCAAAATATGAAAAAAAAGTCTTAAAAATTCAATAGGAAAACAAGCAATGAAAAAAATCAAGCAACTGATTTCTTTTTTTTTTTAAGACAAAGTCTTATTCTGTAGCCCAGGCTGGCCTTGAACTTGTGATCTTCCTGCCTCAGTTTTGGAGAGCTAGGATTACAGGTGTGTACCACCATGCTCAGTATAATTGTTTTTTAAATGGGCAAAATATCAGAACAGACACTTCAGCAAAGAATATATAGAGATAGTAAATAAGTATATGCAAAGATATCCAACATCATTTGTCAATAGAGAAATTCAAATTAAAACCAAAATTTAGGTACCACTGTGCACTTGTTAGGATGGCTAGAATAATCCATATGGGATGGGTTGCATTTGAGCTGGAGACATCCTTATATGCTCATATTTAATGTGAGCTGCAGATGGGTATATAGGAATATTTGTGTACATGCGTATATGCATGTATTTATTAGCAAATACGTATCTTCTCCCTCTGTCACCCGAGAGGACCCAGAAGCGGTCACATCCTAGGAAAAACCGGCACATCTGGCACCTGGAGCTTGCCTTGTGATACTGATCCAATAAAAGAAGCTAGGACTCCTAGGACAACCTAGGACACTAGGGTGCCCCTAGGCTGCCCCTGGGACTGGGGCAGAGAGTATACAAGCCTATCCTGTCCTACCTGGGAGCACTCAAAGCAGCAGGAAACCCTGGTGCAGCAGGGCCGTTGCAGAGGAACTCAAGGCCAACTGAGAGAGCTCCCAGTACCCAAGGTGGAGCAGTTTCAGTAACAAGGTTAGTACAGCAGTACTGGATTATAATCCAAAGTATAAAGTAAATGCCCGTGAGTCCATGGTGACATACATGAATGACTGAATAAATAAATAAATATACCAAATAGTTACTCCCAAGTAGAATCCCAAAAGGTTTACATGGATATTTTGCCTTCCAGGAGGTGGCACAGAATTCCAGTCCCGTATGGAATATACATGGTGACCCCCTTTCAACAAGTATACCTGAGGAAGGGTGTGACCCCTGCCTCAGCCCAGTGAGCAGGGTCACCACCTCCAGGGGCGAGACCAGCCACCGCCTGTGCCACGGTGCCGGGAGCTGAGGCACTTTACCTCTGCACTCCTGCTCCCCCGAATCCACAGCGAGTAACCCTGAGAAAGGCCTCCGGTTCAGTCCTCGTCAGGAGGGCAGCTGCTGTCACCGCCACTGTTCCTCGCAGCTTTACGTCCTCTGGGCCGAGGGAAGCCTGAGGAGCTGGCACAGTCTAGAGGAGACCAGGCCGTGTGACGGAGGCTGGTAGTGTGAATCCTGGGTAGGACCTGGGGTCAGGTAAAGGACATTAAGTAGAAACCAAAGAAATCTGAATAAGGTGGAGGTTTCAGTTCATAGTGTGTCAGTATCTGCTCACCAGCTGAGAACCTCACCACGTTTGTCACGGGGGAACGGGCCCTGGGTTAAATGGGAACTTGGTACAATTTTTATATTTCTTCCGTAAATCCGAAACTATTCTGAAATACACTTTAAAATATAAACTACTGTAAAATAAAAATTTTGTTTAACAAAGTACTCCACTTATTTTCTGGGTTTTTTTTTGTTTTGTTTTTTTTCCGGTACCGGAATTGAACTCACGACCTTGTGCTTGCCAGGCAGGCGCTGTGCCGCTGAGCTAAACCCCAGCCCCTCCACTTACTTTCTGAAGCAACCCTCAGGCGCCCCTTTGGCCCAGCCTCCCTCCGTGAGCTGTGTGGGCGACCCCTGTCACGGCTGAGGGGTGACGGACCGCAGGGCCGGTCTGTGCGCGCACGCGGGCCCTCTGCCCCAGGGCAGGCGGGCTCCTGGCTGGGCTGGGCACACCGCGCTGCTGGCCCGCAGACAGGGTCCCGGGGCGCCTTCTCTTGCCCCTTGGGTGCTTTCGCGCTGGCTCCAGACCCTGTGCCTGGAGGCCGAACTCGTGGGCTTCCTGGAGGAGCCGCGGAGGACTTGGGCTCCAGGAGTGGGAACTGGCCGGGAGCCGGGCGTGGAGCGCGTGGGGCTGCGGCCCGGGGCCCAGCTGCAGGGCCACAGAATCTGGGCCACGATCCCGCCAGAGCCTCTCCCGGCCAGCCGCTTCCCCAGGCCACAGCAGCAGCTGCCTGCCTGCCCCTTATCACCCCAGCGCAGCCTGGGCAGGCACTTATCAGTGGACCTGGCAGCCTCCCAGCGCCCAGGGTGCCAGGCAAACACGTCCCCGCCCCGTGGGCCCTCAGTAAACACTTGTCAAGCGAAGCAGCCAACCAACGAATGGCAACGTGGGCTGTTGCCATGACAGTGCAGCCTAGTGGGCAGAGCAGCGGGCAGGCGGGCGGCCTGGACTGTGGCTTCTTAAACCTGGCGGGGGAGAGGCAGTTTGTGTAGTTCCCGTCCTGTAAAGCGGGCAAAATAGTATCTTCTTCACTAAGTCGACTGAACGGACAACAGATTATGCCAAGTGCTTAGCACAGTGTCGGACACAAAAATAAATGCTCATAAACAGCAGTTATGTTATGTAGTTAGTTACGTAGTCCACTCATGACTAAAATTAGACAGGCTTTTGCAATAGATAAATGAGTAAGGACACAGATGGACAATCAGCAAGCAACCAGAAGTGACTGGCTGCACATGCACGAGGCCTGGTTTATTCCCTGGTACTACCAAAAAAAAAAAAAAAAATATTGACAAGCTAAGTTAAGATAGCAGTGAGATACCGTGTCTTACCTTCAAAGCTAGAAAGTTGTTTCACTAAATATATGAAAAAAATGTTCAACATCACTGGTCATTCAAGAGATGCAAATGAAAACACCACTGAGATTCCATCTCACGCCAGAAAGAACGGATGTTATCAAGACATCAAACAATGACAAATGCTGAGGGGCTGTGGGGAAAAGGAGCCCCTCTCCACGGCTGGCGGGAGTGTGGACTGGTGCGACCGCTGTGGGAATCAGCGTGGAGAAGGGCTTCTTTGTCTGGAATGCATTGAGGACACTGATTTGTTTATTATTTGTTAGAGTTTCTTAAGGCTTCATTATACAGCCCAGATTGACCTTGAGTTTACGATCCTCCTGTCTCAGCCTCTTGAGTGCTGCGATTACAGGTGTGTCTTGGGTTATATGTGGAGAAGAATAATCCTTTAATTATCCTTGCTAAACCATTTGGCATCCACCCATTTGTACTAGCTATGCCCTTGGTTCTCGCTCAATAAAAGGTGACGGAAATTGATGTTTGGGGCTGCAGTCCAAGAGGCTCTACGCCCCCCTGATCCCACACTTTTGCTTCTCTTGTTTTTCTTGTCTCTCTTACTTTTTCTTTTCATCCACGGGTAGGTACCTCATTCTGGGGACCTGTTCAAGATGGATGAGTTATCCGACAAATCAGTGTGGAGATTCCTCAGTAAACTAGGGCTAGAGGTTCCATTCAACTCAGCTATTCCACTTTTTGGTGTCTTCCTGAAAGAATTAAAAACATCATACTACAGCGATATATGCACACCCATGTTTATAGCAGCACAGCTTATAATAGTTAAATTTTGGAAATTTGGAAATAGCCCGAATGCCCATGAACCAATGAATGGATAAAGAAGATGTGAGGGTGTGTGTGTGTGTGTGTGTGTGTGTGTGTATCTTAAGTGAGATAAATCAAACACACATGTGTAACTGTTGCATTGTTTCTCTGGTGTGAGAAACCAAAAGTGTAAATAAGAACCAAAATGTATAATAGGTAATGGGAAATGGGAAGAAAATACTAAAATAGGAAGGGGAGCAAGGGAGGGGAGGGGGGAAGGGAAAGAAGGGACAAGAACATAGAAGGACAAAATGGAAAGAAAGCTTTTGTAAATGAGGGGAAGAGGAGCTAAAGGGAGGTGAGGGGCCTGGGGCAGAAAGACAATCACGATATACCATGTAGAGGTACAAGTTCCCTATGATGAATGGGATTATTATGTATATCTGAAATGGACCCACAAAATTAAGAATAATGATGATAAGAAATAACATTTAAACCTTAGGACAGAATAAAACGGGAACAGAAGCCAGGCGTGGTGGTGCACACCTGTAAGCCCAGCACTCAGGAGGCTGAGGCAGGAGGATTGCTGTAAGTTCAAGGTCATTCTGAACTACATAGACAGACCTGTCTCAAAAACAAAACGCAACACCACAAAAAACCAGGAATAACATTTTTTTCAAAAATACCAGAATGCAATAGTTTTCAAACTTTAGGGCCAGGGATATAGCTCAGTGGCACAAGCGCCTGCTGGCAGGCACAAGGTCCTGAGTCTGATTCCTGGTACCAAAAACGAAAAAAAAAATTGATTAAAATTTACAGGTGGGGGCTGGGGATTTAGCTCAGCGGCAAAAGCGCCTGCCGGGCAAGCGCAAGGTCGTGAGTTCGGTTCCCGGTACCGGAGAAAAACCAAAAAAAAAAAAAAAAAATTTACAGGTGGATGCACCTCTAACCTAATAATTATGCTTATAGTAGTCTTAGAACCATTTTGGGGGAAATTTTTGTTTTGTTTCGTTTTGTTTTGTTTTCCCAGTACAGAGAACTAAATCCAGAACCTTTGCATCGAGCTACATCCCCACACCATTTATTTATTGTGTTTGTTAGCTTGTTTGTCTAGGGTTTTTTTTTTTGTTTGTTTTTGTTTTTGTTTTTCTCCGGTACCGGGAACCGAACTCATGACCTTGCGCTTGCCAGGCAGGCGCTTTTGCCACTGAGCTAAATCCCCAGCCCCAGCTTGTTTGTCTAATTATTTATTATTCTGAGACAAGGTCTCACAAAGTAGCCCAGGCTAGGCTTGAACTAGTGATCCTCCTGCCTCAGCCTCCCAGAGTCCTGGATTTACAGGCCTGTGCCACTATGCCCAGCTGAAACTTTATTTTCAAAACATGTGGCTGATGGGTTTGGCTTGAGGATGCTGCAGTGTCTTAGGTAGATGTCGCCAGTGTGGATGATGCCCTGGCCTTGACCACTCCTGGAGACAGTGCAGTGAAGGAGCTCTAAGAGGCTCATGAGAGTCTCCCACGTGTGCCCCAGGGCTGCAGGGCTGCAGGAGAGAGGCTGAGGGCTGAGGAAAGGCTGCCTCCTTCCCCACCCTGAGCCCCACACACGCTGGGCGCATCTCACCCCTCAGAGCCCTGGTGCTGGAAGACCATGGTCCCCGCATCCGACAGGGGATGGTGGCCCGGCAGTGCTGTGGGCAAGGGTGGTGACATACAGCTTCCCGGGTGGAAGCCTCATCTGCAGGTCTTGTGAGGAGGCGGCATGGAGTTCCAGGGCTGCCGGGTCGGCTGGCCCACTTCAGGGCTGACCTGAAGGTTCTCAAATCCGGTATGGGTCAGAATGCCCTGGAGAGCTCGTGTCCAGGAGGCTCAGGCTCTTTGCAGTGGAAACGGGCCTGGGCTTCTGTGTGCTGACCCAGTGTTTCTGGCTCCAGCAGAGGACTGAGACCCCGGCTGAGGCCTTGCGTCTCCATGTGGCCTGTGGACAGGAGGCATCGGCATCATCCGACAACTGTTCCAGGACCTGGGGCTGGGGATTTAGCTCAGCGGCAAAGCGCCTGCCTGGCAAGTGCAAGGTCGTGAGTTTGGTTCCTGGTACCGGAGAAAAACCAAAACCAAAAAAACAAAAAACAAAAAACAAAAAACAAAAAAAAAACTGTTCCAGGACCTGTGGGGTGACAAGACCCCCGGGGATTCTTATGCGCCTTGCAGTTTGAGAAACATGAGGGGTGGGTCCCTGACCCAGAAGTGGCCAGAACAAGGCTCCTCCCAGCTGAGTTGACTGACAGCAAAGAGTCCAGTCAGAACAGCGCCCCATGAGGGGAAAGAGGCTCCAGTGAGGGAAGGAATGGCCTGTTTCTGCTGAGTCTGGAGCAGCAAAGAATACAGGGGCAACAGGCCCCGTCCACAGCTGGAGGCCTGCGCTAGTGAGCCCAGGGCTCTGCCAGCTGTCTGTGCACTTTGCCCAGCTTCCTGCCCCGAACCAGTGACTGCCTGAGTCCACACCCCTCTAACTGTGCTCTTCCTTAGCCCCAAACCAACCTTGGCTCCATGGGCCGGGGATATAGCTCAGCGGCACAAGCGCCAGCCTGGCAAGTGCAAGGTCCTGAGTTCGATTCCTGGTACCAAAAAAAAAAAAAAAGGAAAAAGCTCCTGTAACAAATTCAGCAGCTCTGCTCTGCAGATCCTGGTGTCTGGCCTGGCCTTCCTGGTATTTGCTCCAGGGGACTCTTCTGGAGAGCCCACCTGGGTCTGGGGTCCCACTCTAGCCCTGGAGGCTGGGGATAGACAGCATATCTGGAAGGCACTTTCTGGGTTGCATTAACCAGCACTCCCCAAATCCTACAGCACTGCTGCCTCAGACAGGTCACTGCCCTGTCCCTGGGGTGCCTGTGTCCTGCCCATAACTTCACTGAGAGCTCCTTGGTCATTGTCCTGACTCCCCTGTTGGGATTCTGATGCTAGAACCTGGAATGTTCATGTTCTGGGGGAAAAATGTGACCCCACCCCAGCGGTACCCTCTGGGTAAACCCACTAGAATCCGGGATTCCAACATCAGGATGCAACCGGCACAAGGAGCTACTTCTTGCAGAGATGCATCTGTAGGGGAAACATCCCAGCAATGGGCAGGACCTCACCAGCAACCAAACGCTGGGAAAGGAGCAAGCTGTCCTCCTGGGTAGATTTAAGTGAAAGCTTCAGGCACAGCAAGAGATTTTCCCACCAGGACCAGTGGCTTGGTGAGCCCAACAGCTCCTCCCAGCAGGACCCCTTGCTCCTCCTGCACCCAGCGCATGGAAGGCTGTGTTGAACAAGTTGATAGGGGAGAGGAGGAGAAATTGGCTCTTTCTGTGGTCCCGGTCCTCACCCTCTCACCTGACCCTGAGGGTGCAGCTGGGTGGGGTGGGACTAGAACCAACAGGAGATGCCAGCTGGAGCTGTAGGAAAGTCAGGTGCAGACTTCCCAGAGAGGTCACAGCATGGGCAATGGAGCAGACAACACAAGGTGGAGGATCCCGGCCCTGGGTCGTGGGTGACCCGTCTGGCAGGGTCAGGCAAGCCACTTCCAGGTGGGAGCTAGCATGGTGCTCTCAGACCTTGACCAAAGGGGCTTGGATGTCGTGAAGAGTCTCTGTGGGCGGGACCCTACGAGAGGGCCGGATTGCAGGCAACACGGGTTCTCCAAGCTGGTCCCCAGGGTCTCAGCACTTGGGCAACTACATGGCCACAGACGACACTTAGAGAAGGAGGGCATGTGGCCTGGGACAGAGATTTAATCTTGTTTTTTGTTTTGTTTTGTTTTGTTTTGTCTTTTTTTTGAGACAGGGTCTCGCTATGCAGTTCAGGCTGGTCTTGAGCTCACTTTGTAGTCCATCATGTCTCAAACTCATGATGATCCTCCTGCCTCAGCCTCCTGAGTGTTGGGATTACAGGTGTGCGCCACCACACCTGCCTAGAGATTTAATCTAAGCCCTACTGGCTAGAGAGGCCGGACTGCCCATCCCTCATCCCTTGCTCCCTGCTGGAGACAGCAATGACCCAGTGCCCAGGGCTCTGCTCTCCTGGAGCGCAGAGCTGCTCTGCTTGCCAGGACTGACTTGGCAGCCAGGGTGTGGCTGAGTCAGCATACAGGAGGGCTGGTGGCCTGGATCTTGGATCTGGGGCTGGCAAGGTGCCCAGCAGACATGCGGGCCCTTCCATACAGCAGTTACCCTGTCCAGGCCACCTGTCCCCAGAGCAAGTGTGGACAGAGTGTAATCACCTGTCCTGGCTTGCCCGGAGCTGGCTCAGTCTTAACACTGCCCCTGGAAACCCCCCTTGTCTCAGCAATGGGGCGGAGGTTCGTTGCAACTCAGGGTGAGGAGTGGCCAAGAGCAACGTGAGTCATTGCAGGAGCCACAACAAAGCCCACAGGCTGGATCCGTCCCTCCACGCTGCCAGCTTGGTATGTGTTCCTAGCTGCTCTGAAGGACCACACAGCTGGGTGTTTAGGAAACAATTAATTAGTGGCATCTCTGACCCAAATACCTCCAACTCTAACTCCTTAGTCACTCTCATGCATGAGGAAATGGATTCAAGGAAAACATTTAAGATCAAATAATGCCTAACTCTGGCTTGAGTGTCTGCTCCCCAGGGTGCCCTGGGCACCTGTTCGGTTATCACTCTGGAGTGTGGACGTTTGTCACTTGGTCGTCTCCTCCTGACAGTCTCCCTCACAGCCCTGAGCCTGGTGAACTAGTGTCTAGTGTATAATAGTGCTGGATGAAGATTCAGTGTAGCTTTGCAGAAACGAGGAGGCGAAAGGGTGAAATGAAAGGGTGGAACTGATCGTTTTGAAGTCTGACTGGGAGGACTAGCACAGACACAGTAGGAAGTCCGGTTTCAAGGGGCAAACAGGAAGCATTCAGACAACGCACCACCATCCACACAGCCCTGTGCGGTTGGGTTTCCTGGCCAGGGTCCGGTTTGTTTATGGGGCTTCCTTCCAGCTGGCCTCATCACGGGGTCCAGGCCGCTCTCGGCAGCACACGCGTGCTGGCTCCCGCTGGTGCAGGCACCAGGCTGAGCAATGGTTGGCTTCGTGGGCCAAGAGGAGCAGGAGTCTCTCAAGGGGTGTGTTCCAGGGGAGTTCAGCTCACATGGGGACACACACACACACAAACACGCGCACGCATGCACTGCAACAAAGGCAGTCAAGTACCGGTGTGGGGCCATGGTGGGGCCTGACAGGAGGAAGCCAGGCCCTTTGGAGCAGCCAGAGCATGCCATACCCTGGCCGCTTTTGCCCTGCCCACCCCTGCACCGGATCCTCACTCCCTTGCGGGCCCTGCATTTGGAGTGCCACTGGCTTGTGTGTGCCACACTTGGCCGCTGGCCCTCGCGCGCGCGTGTGGGCTGATACAGCGGCTGACTCCTGTTTTACTCATCCTCGCCCTGCCCTCTGCTGCCCCACTGACTTTGATGCTTGGTGTTTGCCTTCTGTGATACTAACACATTAAATATTTATATGCAGTGCCTCTGTGGACGGCAGTGAGCTGGCGTGAGGCCCTGTTGATAAGCAAAATGAGCACCTGGACATCAGCGTGGGAGGAAGGAGATGACTGGAGGTGAGCGAACCTCAAATATTCGTTCATCTTCTCCCCAACAAACTACTGAAACCTCCATTACATGCCAGACTTGTTGCTAGGTCCTGGAAATCCCACAATAAAAAGCTGGCTCTCCCACCACATAAGGCTTCAGGTTCCGTCCCCCTAGGTCAAGTTATCTCCTTCTGCCTTTAATGTTGGCTCAAAGCTCACCAGTCAGGGACAGCTTCCTAGGCCTCTTCACTGAGGTAGGGCCTCATCATGATGCTCTCACAATAGTCTATGATTTTCTTTCATGGCGCCTGTGATTATGATATATTTATTGGTGGGACTATTTCATAGGTGTTGGTGTCCCTAGCTTCTCTGTCAAGGGTCATTTATTATAGTCTTTACACTGTCTAGCACATGGCAATGCAGTTAATGATGCAAATTAAATGGATGGACAGATGGATGGACGGACGGAAGGATGGATGGATGGGTGGACAGACAAGAACTGAGGCAGGTGCCAATTAAGAGACTGACCCAGTAGTCGGGGCAGGGATGAGATGAAGAGGGGGAACAGCCACAGCAGAAGAAGAGGAAGGGCCATGGAGGAGACTGCCGGAAGACGTCTGCTGATTTGGCTGTGGCCTGGCCGGCCTCGAGGGTGAAGCACAGAAAGGAGACAGTGCCCGCCGCCCCGGCTGCGAGCAAGGAAGTTGGAAATGCAAAACAGATTGAGTTCAGAGGTCTGGGACAAAGAAGGCGACCTGCTGAATTTGGGGTCTCAGTTGAGGCAACGAAGTAGAAATTTTAAATTATTTTTGGCTACTATGGTCGCACGATGATACTATTGCCTGCCCTAAGAAACAAATGCCACCATTTCAGTGGTTTACTATGACAGAATTTTTACCTTTATTTTGTTTTGTTTGTGTCCCCATGACAGTCTAGTGCAGGTGTCTGAGGTCACTTTGGTGACCTCATGACAGTGATTGACACCTCATCCCTCCATCCATCCCACCTCGGCCCCAAAGTGCGCGTAGTGTCTAGACTTGTGGTCGCGAACCTTTGGTGCACGTGCTGCAGCGG